GGGATTGGGTTAGAGTTAGAGAGATGGGATTTTAAAGAAGATAAAGTGGGATTAGTGAAGAAACTGATGATGGTCTTTATATAACGGAAACATTATATTTATTCCGCATGTAGGAGTAATGATAATTTAATTTAGAGTTTTAATTTTATGTGAAGGTAGGAGAAAAAGAAGTTGATGGGTCAAGTTATTATCTCAACCGTTAAATAACATTTTGGGTTTTCTTAAAAGGGGTTCTAATTTGATTCTCCAACCATGGTTTATTGTAAAAGAAAACAAAGTATGTATTTATTTAGAGTTTGTTTCATCCCACTAAAATTTTAATTTTTTTGAATTGAATGTAAAATTATATTCAAATCAAATCAAAATCCCGCTAAGATTTTAATTATCGTTAGCTATTCGTAAACCTTTTCAATGACAAAAAAAAAATCATGGAATTCTATAGATTCCAGGGGATTAGTCTTGACTTCGGTTTAGGATTCTCCCGGTAATTAGCAATACAAATGTTTCAAACTATGTAAGAATAAAAGTTCATGTAGTTTTTAATTTTAGTCTTTTGCCTTGGTTTTTTTTTTGGCACGACAATTGTATCCCAGCTGGTTAGAGAAACTTTTTGTACTTAGTTACAAACCCTCTTCTTTGTAATGAAATTAACATTACACTGAAAGTCCTCTTTATAGGTTTTTGGTTATAGAATTTTTGTTTAACCAAGAGAATTTAACTGGATTTCAGTAGATTTATCTGGAAGTCCAGATATTTAAACTGGTAAACTCCATTTTCTATATAGTTTTATTCCTGGCAAATCTAACGCGTTGGACCATGATATCAAATATCTGGTAAATACAGATACTAAAGATTGATCTAACCATCAACAAAAGCGAGTAGAATACCTTTTATTTTAGAGCATAATCTTACATTTAAATTATACAATATTTAAATAGTGTAATGATAACAGCTGCATTATACAAATTTTATTTGAACCGTGTCTGTCTTTGTGGATTTTAATATTATGG